GACCTAGTGCCCCCTCGACCTGCGCCTGCGCCCGCGCTAGACACTCCTACAGTGCCATGGACGTTTGTGACATTTGACACTACGAGAATAACGCCACGACAGCGAAGCCTCAATGTCTACACACATATAGTGCTGTGAATGTCTTGGGAGGTAACTCGCCTTTGCTACTAAAGAAAAGTTTGCGTACAATGGAGCACCAACATTCTCTTATACTAGTTTCAAGTAGTTTTGTTTACATCTGTGCGTTTATTTTGGAGTGCTTATATTGTGTGTCTATATTGTACTACTCGTGCATAATAACATGAGACTCGTGTCTTATGACGTCACAATGCCCTTCTTGTATAGTTTGCAGTAATTCAACACGACATTTATGTATGTTTGTACAATTATGGTGTGTTGAAAGTTGTGTGCCATTTAAAATGAATCCTATGTTATTGTGCACAAGTGAAATTTAAACATGTTTGAGAAATTCCATTTGTGACACAATTGACCTCAAATGTGTAAACATTTTTTATGAAATCAGCATAAACTTGAGATGGGAGACGGAAAGACTTTCGGTGGCAATTATTGAGATGTAATGAACGCAGCGTGTTATATAATGCGTACAAGCAGGAATTTTTTATATACAATACATGGATGTAACAAATGTAAGTAATAATTTCAAAGTAATTAAACATGAATAAAAAAAAAAATTTCAACCTGAAAAAGATTTGCTATCCCTGAACGCACAATTACAGGGATGGAAAACATTTTCTGCCGACCAATTTAAAATATTTTTGTGCGTTTTGTAAAGTTGAAGTTAAAGAAAAAATCGACTCTTAAACACTGAAATGTACAGTTGTGCATAAAGGATTTTTTTATATCGCAAACCAAATAACAACTGTATTCAGTCAATCATTTATATTTTGTTTCTTAACAAAATTTTGAATAAAAAATTTTATTATGATCTGCAAAGTTTAAAGAATTTTATAGGGAAATAATTCCAGTTTACACTGGTTTATTGTTTTATTTATAAATGTTATTTTTTCCAATGATCTTAAAATATGTCATTACAGTACAGAAAATATGAATTAAACAAGCATTAAGCAGATTTTTTTTAATTTGTATAAAATTAATAATATATAAAATAATCTTTTTAAAACATTTGATATTGATTGCTTCTATTTTTAGGAATACAAATCATAATCATGCAATTACAGTTTTTAACAAAACCAGGTTTAATATTCTGTAATTTAGAAAAAACAATGTACAGTCAGCTGCATCAATATAAGTTTACAGTTACAAAGCTTCAGAAAGTTACATGCGTTCTTCGGTTTCAAATGTCTATTTAAATATCTATCTTTATGATACTGACTACAATACGTGCTTACCCATTTTTGAAACCATAGATCTGTACAGGTTTTTAGTTTTGTTAGTGTGTACACATTTAAGTAGCTGACTGTCTTGTCGATGAAAAGGCAACGAAATATTGAATTGACTGTCAGTAAAAGGTTGTTTCAAATATGCATTACTTATCTGTAATAATTTTTTTAACTCTAAGATTACTCCATATCAAATGGATAGTTACAACATTTTTTAACAAATAATGAAATATATGAAATTCAAAATAAATCGGCGCAGAAATCTTTCCGATATTTGTCAACGTGACAAGTTGGCTCAAATTGTAGTGTAAGTTATTTTATTTTCCATAGCATAAAGAGTAAGGCTTCGCAGCCATAAATATCAAACATCACTTGTACTCATTACTTAGTTGTTAAATACGTTTCGGTTGTATGTTTTACATAAATATATTTTCTTTTACAGCCTGTCACGTACAAAGTTAGGACAATCAGGCTTTTAATTTAAAAAATGTAGTGTACTTATATTAAATGTATGACTTATAGTTTTTAAATACGCTTTTCAAAGGTGTGAGTTCATTAGGCATCTAAATTGTTATATTTTGAGACTGTTTGGCTTAATATTAATTGAATTCTCTTTATGCTAAGTATCGTTTTAAGTTATTAAATTGATAATCCTGTTGGGTATAAAGTATGTATCCAGGAATCTCTTGGAACTTTAGTTGCTATCGCATGTAAAAAGTCATTTGCTTATTTTCTAGGTGTTGTATAGCTAAATTAATGCTACGTTTATATTTTAATTTTGCGCATGTCGCGGGATATCCCCGCTTATTAATATTCAAAATTGTTATTACGTTTCGGCTGTGAGAGTTTCTTTTTAGTGTAAGATAATGTGTACCCTAATCACAGTATCCCAGTGTAGCTATAACACATTTTTGTACCTAATCTTAAATATCACCCGTCCTCCTTTTCGAAATTTTACAGCCCCAGAACACGGCCGATACCATTTTATTTATATTTTAAGTGACTTACATGAATCTTGATGCATTTTAATTGTATGATAGTGAGTATAAATATACAGCCTTGGATATTTCGCTGGTATTTAAATATTCATACAAAATATCCCACCATGATTTTTTTTAATTGTCCATGTTCTGGGGCATACCTTTAGGACACATATACTTTGATATAAATGTATAGTGAAGACGTAAATGTAAATTTCTTCTATTCATTGTAATTTAGATGTTGTCGATGTCTTTATAAAATCTTTGCTCCATGTTATCAGTAGAATCTTAATATGCATGTGTTTGGTAAATTAAATTTCATTCTTCTATAGTACGGTCTAGCCATATAAAATTTTACCTTTAATAAGCATTGCTCTGGGTTTCCATTACAAATATTATTTAATCTCTCCAATTTATATGAAAATTGAGATGAGATATCTCTGATGTTTAGCAGTGGAAACTCACGGTTAGACACTGCCTAATATTCATGTAACTGCAGACCATTTTGATGTAAAACTTAGTAATGTACATAAATTTAATTGAACACAGCACGGACTGCAGATCTGGGTTTTTATTAATTCAGAAATGTAGTATGTTGTTACTTGTAATTATCAATATATGTCTCGAATTCTAAATGTATGTACTTTTGTAGTGGACAACATGATATAAATCACACAGCAATAATGTTTTTTCATAATAATTTGTACTTTAATACATAGTTGTAATGGACGGTACGCATCGATTGGTCTTGAAGCGATGATTTCATTGCTATATGAAGTCGTCACGAAATAACACACTAGTTTTGATACCATAATTGTGAATTAAAAACATAAATGACTAAATAACATACTAAATATAGAAATTGAAGATTAACAACTGTTTGTTTGAGATAAACATTAATTCTGTATTGATTTTTATCGTTGCAGTTTTTGAGTTTCAAATGCACTTATATCGATACGTATTGTCACGTACCATAGAAAATATTTGTCGATATAAATGTCAATGTGGCCGAAACTCAGGTGTCAAAATGTGTGTGTTATTTTGTGCAAGTCATAACTGGAAGGGTTTGATGTAATGTGGTGCTATCGAACTGTTACGTATCGACTGGCAATGGAGATAGTATTCGGCGTTGTCCTGATTTTAGAGCTTATTAATATATATTACCTTAAAAATTTAGCTACGCTGTAATTATCTTTTTTTTTTCTAATTTTAAAGTTGTATTTTGTTTATAGACGTGGCGCGTCGTTTGACTGTATGCTTTCTGTTGTGTCGCGATCGCAGTGCCCGTTCCAGTTTTGCTTGTAAACGAATTGTAATTTTTATGTATGTAAAAAAAATATTTACATTTTAAATTTAAATCCTCACTGGAACTGGTTTCAGTTTGGATGTAAACTGTGTTATTGAAATTGATTTGTGAAAAATTGATAAATACTGTAAATCGGACTGGAAAGCCAAAGTAAACAGTATTTTATAAAAATGTTTCTTTTATTTTACCTACAACTCAATCTACTCAATAACAATGTACTAACTTTCGTCACATTTTAATAAAAAATATATGGGAGACTAGACATAGTGGTTTCTTCACTGGTGTCTTTTTTGAAAGGCACTCAAGTTGTCAAGTTTAGTGCCACTTGAACCTTGTATTGACATATAAAACATTTTACAAAACTATGAATTCCATCTTTATAAAGTAAATGAAAGTTTTACAAAATACTAGATAGTGTAAGCAAGGATCATGTAAAAATGTCTCAAGTGATTTTACTTGAGTCATATCAACTATGCATCCTCTATACATTTTTGTTTCTCTTTAAAATAAAACAAAGGTATTACTTTTTAATTGAATTTATTTTGCCTTGAATTTCTACAGGGAATTTTTCTAATGATTGTTTTGCACAATTTATACAGAATAATTTCATATAAAATATACTACATTCTTTGCTGATACACACTGGTTTTTCACATATTGCACAATCTGCTCCCAGCATTAAAACCTCACCTTTTCCTGGTGGACTGAATGGATCTTTCATCACATAGCTTGGATATTTGAGTACAACATTGCGTGAGAATGGAGGCTTAGTTCCTTTGTAATGCGCCTTTTCACTTAGTTTACATGACACACAGTTAAAATCATAAAATTCATGTTCTTCAACCTTAGTCTTTGTATCATCCATTTCCTAAAACAATAACTATGGTTATTATTCACAATATAAAATAGTACATATTCAAGGAAAAAATCGATTATTTCAATCAACTACATATTTATACTGTGTCAATTATTTATTTCATTTTATATCTCAAGTTAAAATTACTAATTCTTAATTCTACACGCAACAGCAACCATAATTATTGACAATTAACTATTAAGATTAGTCAAAGTAACACAGAATCAAAACCACAACTAAATAATACCTACAACATTAATATTTGAATCTAATTTGATGCCAGTTATCCACATAAATATTAGTTTTGTTCTTTCTTAGCTGTTACTTCTCTTGGTGCTTCAATAGGCCACCAAGAAGGTTTTATAACTTCAGCCTCGTAATCTTCAACTTTTAACATTTTAGCATCTAAAGCCTCTTTAATTCTGAGCAAACCTAGTCCATAATCTTGTATAGTACCTTTCAATTTTCCTATACTTGTTTTTAAGTTATTTGAAGCTGTTATAGCAGTATCTTGTTGTATATCTTTTACATCTGAAGTAAATTTTAATGGCATTAACCTTTTTCGAACTACACCAGTATGATGGACTCTGGCTGTTAATTCTTGTCCGATATAACAGCCCTTGTGAAAACTAACACCATGAAGATAGTCACAGTTGGCTTCTAAAGGAAAACTAGTTCCAGGAGGCAAATCTTCTGCACCTTCACTGACGCCTAACTTGTACCTTAAATATTTATAACCATTGTCACTGTTCTCTATAGTAATATCACTCCCTATAATATCTGTTATTTGGGTTTCATTTACTGATACAGATGATATGATTCTTAATCCTAATTCATTAAGGCGCGGATCTTTATAAATGTGAAGACTATCATTTGCAATATCGGATCTAGAAGGTGATATCAGAGCCCATAGCTTAATCTCATTATTTACATCTTTGATCTCCAGCTGTCTTCTTAACTTATACATCTTTAAATGTTTCTGCATTGCATTGATTATACTAGAATCGCATTCTAATAAATAAGAGTCATCGTCCTTCCATTTATATACTAATGTGTCGTACATAACCCGACCCTTGTTGTTAAGAAACATAGCGTACACAGACTTAGCTCCATCTTCAAAATGTCTCATATCGTTTGTTATTAGCCCTTGTAGGAATACTGATGCATCGCTACCTTTTACGTTAAGTAATTTTCTATTACTAAGAGGATACAAAACTGACTTAGATGTTTGATGCTCTTGGTGCGTAAATCGTACAAATTGAGATAAAACATGTCTCTTGCAAAATAAAGTTTTTACCTGGGGTAGTCTCATTATATTCCTCTTATTAGTGTCCAAATTTCATACTCGATTGATTAGTTTTTATTGCAAGGAAGACTTTGTTTATTTGGTTATAAATTATATTGTCAATGTCAATCAGGTGTCAGAGAAGTGTCAGGATGACAATGTCAGTATTATGAAGGGGTCCCTATAATGTACGACCCGATAATGCACGGCCCAATAATCC